GAATGCTGAGGGTTTAGACTGAGGAAACGGGGAATCTGACACCAAAAACCTTCACAAACCAATGATTCTAACAGTGTTGTATGCCCAGAAATCAATGGCAGCAGCTTAAGAAAAATGGGCTCATTTAAATCAGAAAGCCAACTGAACTCAGGAGTTAACAAGAGAAAAAAATGGAGAGAGAGAAAGCTCGGGTGTGGCCTGGCCCCTTCAGCCCTTGTTAAATCAGAAAGTGTTTTCTAAGATTCTGTGTTTTACCTTACACCCGTCCTGTTGCTTAGCCTCACATGTTGCTTAAACTTCATTTGAAAGGAAGACAAAGGCAGGGAATAATTATATCATGAACAAGGCAGAATGCTATTAAATAAATGTCTTTATATCCAAGTGCTAAACTGTGTGCCACAGGCCATTGGAAAACCAGGAAACCTTGCCTACTGCCCTGGAACAAGGGAGTACTTGTGAGGTAGAGTACACCCTAAAGACACGTGAAAAGGGAAAGATCAGGTTGACCAGCTGCAGCGAAATCTTCGTAGCGGTAGCAACATTTGAGCTGGGCCTTGAACAGAGATTAGGGAATGAGGAAATGCAGACTGAAAGCCTTTTTATACTAATAATGAAAATGATTGGCATTCATTGTGTGCCAGGCACTGTGGTAAGCACTTTGTGTGCATAATTTCATAGACTCCTAACCAAGAAACCTCCTAAGTATAAGCATGCCCATTTTACAGATGAGGAAACTGAGACACAGAGAGATTAAGAAACATGGCCAAGGTCACACAACTAGGCAGCAGTAGTAGTCGTGGTAGTAGTCAGGATTCACATTCGGGATGTTTGACCCGATAGCCAGGATGCCTAGGGAGAGCAACAACAAGAGAGGGAAGCCCAGACGTGGGAGGAAACAAGGTGACTGACAAGGAGTCAGCAAAGACTGGTCATATTGAAGGGCCAACAGGGTGTTTGGTCAAGTCATTACTCTGCTAAAATTCCTTAACTATCTGCCCCATCGGCTGTGCCTTATACACAGAGATGTTCAAGATTGCTTGTTAAATTTAATTGGCAATATAAGGAAAGGCCCCAGCATAAGAAGCTATCATATAATTGGGATTCTCTGCCTATTATGTCTTCTAGTTTGACTAATATTTTGAAGTTTAACAGGGCATGAATAGGTTCATATGGGGAAAAATATCTTTAATACATCAATACAAATTGGGAAAATAGGGATAACACAAGAATGAACGTGTGAGGAGACTTTTCAAGAGATGTGAAGTCATCTTTTATTCATCTCTTCATTCAACAAATATTTCCTGATTGGTCTTTTTCTATTAGTCCTTGTGCTGAGGCACCGGGGATGTGGGCCCCTCTGAAGGGGCCAAGCAAAAGAAAAGAGCTTCCACTATGCTTCATAACAAAATAGAATTCAATGAGCAGCTGCATTGTTCATTGAACAATGGACATTTATCAACTCCTAATATGTGTTGGATACTCTAAGCAATGACAGATAGACATTCCTGTCCTCAAGGGCCTCTAAGGGGAGATTAAACCAGTGAACAAATAATGGCAACACAGCAGAATGAGTATCACCTACAAGGGGTTTATAAACTAAAACAAATATCTGTACTAAAGGAGGATATACGATCCTGATCTGGTCTGCATCTGTTGAGTTCATTCAGAATGAGTTTGGTAGTTTCCTGTCTTCGTTGACAAAGAGGCTCATCTCCCTGGTCTCCAAAGGCCAGATCAGGTGACCTGAAAAACCTTGCATCTCTAGGATTCTAATTTTGCACTCCCACAGCAGCTGAGAAATCAGGGCACACAGGCAAGAAGAGGAACATAAGAGTAACAGAACACCAAGTACAGTGTGTACCCAGATTTGCCAATTCATAAGCTGGTTAAAGTTCCAATTTCACAACATTAAAAACATGGCTTTTGCCTAATTGCTGAATTCTGGAATGTCGGTGGTGGTCCACTAAAAATCACATTTCATTAACCAGAAAATGTGAATTCAGGTAGTTATGTCTCATCAGTCTGTTAGAAAATATAAAATTAAAAAAAAAAAAAAACCCCAGTAACTCAGTTGCATTATTTAAAAGAACAATTCCAAATCAAACTAAGTGATCACATAGAGGAAGGATTATAACAGCAAAGACAATTTTTCATTAAAATTACTAAAAGAAAAATCTAATCTCAGGCTATAACTTACTAGCTTGTGTGATGTTATGCCAATCACTTACTCTTTCTGGATCTCAGTTTTCTCATCTGTAAAACAAGGGGGTTGGCAAAAAGTTCCATCTGCATCCTGTGATATTATGAAAACCTAACACTTTAGAATCGTAGTCGAGAGATGGCAAATATTTTGGCCTCCAGTGATACCTGCAGTGGACTGGTGTTTATGAGCTGCCTAGAGAATGGAGAAAGATTCTGATGCCCAGTCCAAGCTCAGAGGGAAAGTGCCAAGAACTTTAATATTATCTGGATGAGGCAAGTGGAATGAAGGGCACACAGAGTCATTTTTCTAGTTGAAACTCACATTTTTTAAAAACTAGAAAAATTGAACCCAGAGTGGTTTAGTGACAATGAATAATCACAGAACAAATTAGTGGATAACACAAATTCTAAGTTGAATTTTTATTACCTATCACCCGTATTCTTTTTTAAAAAATTGACAATTATTGTATCATCTTTCATCTTGTTTCCAAAGAAGTTAAAGTGGCTTACAAAGGTGCACATAATGCAGCGAGATCAATGAATACAAAAATAAGACAAAAGGAAATCTATACTTCATTTTATCATACTCAGTGCTGTCAAATTAATTTATCCAGAGCATTCATTTTATATTACTACTCTTCTCAGTGATTCCCCAAAGTCCTTCATTATTTTTCCTCAACTGCCCTTCTAAACCTGTATTCCAATTGCACTGTTCTACAATTCCCCACACATCCTACAGTACATCACCATCTGGAAATACCTGACCAGAATGCAAGTTATCTATCCTTAATGAGGAACTTCCAGATTTTCCCCTGGAAGCTATGTTAATTTGTGACTTCACTCTCCTTGCTGTGGTTCATGAGACTGACATAAATGTAGGGCAAGAAGATTCTCTTTGCTGTCTTTTAATTAATTAATTAATTAATTAATTTATTTATTTATTTATTTATCTGAGAGAGAGCACGCGTGCCTGCTGGGGGGGGGGGGGGGCGGGTAGGGAGGGGCAGAGGGAGAGAGAGAATCTCAAGCAGGCTTTATGCCCAGAGCAAAGCCCAAAGCGGGGCTCGATCTCACAACCCTGAGATCATGACCTCAGCCAAAATCAGGAGTCAGACGCTTAACTGACTGAGCCACCCAGGCACCCCTCTTTGCTGTCTTTTAATTAAAGAGTTGGGAGTGGCTATAGTCCACTGTGTGAGTGGAGAAGCAAAGAAAGCAAGTCTATAGAGAGAAAAAAATGAAGCAAAAATAAAAGAACTTCGAGTTCCTGATTGCTTCCCAGCCTTGACACCAATCTCTCCCTGAGGCCTGGCTCCATACCTGCCATTGAGTTCCCCAAAACACCCCTGAAGCCTTACACTAATTTCCCCCTCTCTTAAGTTTACCCTAATTAATTATTCTGCATCCCTATCTGTGTCTTTGCCTTACCTACATCCTGCCTTCAAGTCCCCGTTCGAGGTCACTTCCTCCAGAAAGCTCTTTCTAATCCCCTCAGACAGAAATAATGCCTTATCCTATAAATTCCTACAGTACTGCATTTATATATTTCTGATGACATATCTGCCTTATACCTGCATGATTATGCATCCTATTTTTTTATCATAATTTCTAAGCTTCTTGTGGAGAAAGATCCATGCCTCACCCATTACTGTAATCTCCATATACCAAGCACAGTAGAAGAGAGCAATCATCAACCTTTGTTAAAAGAATGGATGAATGAATGGACGCCTTTTATTCATTCTCTACTGTTGTACAAATCCCTAAACTTCTCTCCTTCAGGCTGGTATTAGAGAAGTGGAGATTTGATCAGCCAATTTATCCAGTTAATGTGAACAATGTAGACAGACAAATAGGATAATTGTGACCCAAAAATCTACTCCAGGGCCAGAATGATGCCTTTTGGTTGTCAATATTGATCACGTTTAATTAGAAAATTGCCAGATCTCTGCTGTTCCTAGTGCTGTGTGGGCATCACCTAAAAGCAAAGGGATGACAAGCTGTTCTGAGCATCTGCAGCCTTTATATAATAAACATGTTTTCATTTAAGAAAATTTGTGCCTGCTTCTGAGTAGGATCAGAGCCTTTTATAATTGCGTATCTTTTCTCCATACAAACTTTCTTCATTGGTTATGAAAAGGGAACTATTAATGTGTAATTCCTAGAGTTATTAAAGTCATGTTAATTTATTTTAGTTCATGCCATATAAATGAATATTTGCAGAGTAGATGCAGAATACAGTTAAAAAATCAACATTAGAGTTTAAGAAATAATCAATGCAGGAACAGAGTGGAGTCACCTGAGGTGCATTGTGACTTTATGAAGGAGGTTATTAACCCGTCAGTTACCTGTGTCCCTTCCAAACACCTCTTTGGTCTTTCATGATCTTATCAGAGCACTTTCCAGATGAAAGCATAGCTATCATCACTATATTTTATGCCATACACTCCATTTCTCAAATAGCAGCTTACCCTCATGGTATGACTTGTTATTGGATCTGTCTAGATCTTGGTTAATCTGCCATCAGTAATAGTTAATAGAGGGTTAGAGTTTTCACTAATTGAAAATGCAAGTTTCACTTTGCTAGTGAAATGCAAGTTTTCACTTTGCCAGTATCCATAATTTGAAATGGTCATTCAGCAGTAACCAATTTGCTCATATTGGTGTTCACGCTTAAGCATGTTGCATTTGCATGCAGTAACTGGTAAATAAACCTTAAGTGTTTATTTATTGAGTTTAAACTCACTCCATTGCTATTATTCGAAATAAACCAAGAATTAATATCTATGGCATTTTCTTACCTGTGCTTATCAACGTTAGTTGCTTAAATCCACACTTTGAAAAGGCATATTGGAAAAGCATCATTGACTATCTCTAACATAAACAATTGATTGTCATATCTTCTATAATTTCAAAGTCTCTTTAAACCTGAAAAGAAAAAGTCTTATAAGATTGGTGAGAGAGAATTGAAAGGAGAATCCTTCCTTAACTTGATAAATTCCTTTTAGCTATCTAGGATAGAAAGTAGAAGATATAACCACAAAGAAAATTTTTAGAAATCACCATTAATACTACTTTCCTGAAAGAACCAAGGTTAAAATTTTGTTTTATAGTCTTTCTGTCATCTTATTTTGCATATATATACATGTAAGTGTGATTAAAATTGAGATTTAAAATTAAAATGGTACCATACCATTTATACTGTTTTGTAATATGCTGTTTCCACAGTATAGCATAAATATTTATCTGATCCAGAGGCTGGCAAATTTTTCTGTAAAGGGTCAGAGAGTAAATATTTTAGGCTTTTGGGCCAGTCTTTGTCACAACTATCTGACTCCACTGTTATTACAAGAAAGCAATATGTAAATATGTACAATATGTAAATGATGGTATATAATGAATAGGCATATAGGCGCTCCAATAAAACTTTATTTGCAAAAACAGGTAGTAGACATATTGTGTTCATGGATTGAAAGACTCAACACAGTAAAGATCTCAATGCTCCCTAAGTTGATAGACAGGCTTAACATAACATAACTCTCATCATAGTCCCAGCATATCTTTTTGCAGATATAGACAAAATTATTCTAAAATTTATATGAAGAGGCAAAGAACCAGAAAAGCTAAAACAATTTTCAGAGAAGGCTATAGTGGGAGGAATCATTCTGTCCAATTTTAAGACATGTTTTATAGCTGCAGAAATCAAAACCATGTGGTAGTGCAAACTATGTATCTGACCAAAATCTCACATGATTAGATATTACTAAAGACCTATCAGAACAGCTAAAATTAAAAAATAATAATAATACCAAATGCTGGCAAGGATGCAGAGCAACCGGATCTCTTATACATTGTTCAGGGGATTATAAAATGATATAGGCACTTAGCAGTTATTTAAACAGCTAAACATACACTTACCATCTGACCTAGCAATCACATTTCTAGGCATTTATCCCAGAGAAATAAAAATTTATGTCCACACAAAAACCTACACACAAATGTTCACAGCAGTTTTATTTGTAACAGTCAAAAACAGGATACGAACATAAAGTCCTTCAATAGGTGAATGGTTAAACAAAATGTAATATATCCATATCATAGAATATTATTTAGCACTAAAAAAGAACTGAACTACTAATACATGTAAAATTTAGATGCATCCAAAGATATGATGCTGAGTGAAAAAAAAAAAGCCAATTTTAAAAGTTATGATTTCACTTATATAACATTCTCCAAAATGACAAAATTACAGAGATGAAGAGCAAGGTTCAGAAATGGTAAGGGAGAAGGGGTGAGTATGACTATGAAAGAATAGGACAAGGGATTTCTTTGGATAATGGCGTAGTTCTGTATCTTGATCATGGTCATGATTATAGGAATCTACACACACATTGTACTAATAATGTCAGTTCCCAGTTTTGCCTTGTGCTATTATTACATGTAAGCTGTAACCAGCGAAGGATATCAGGTGAAGGATACACAGGACTTTGCTGTAATATCTTCGCAACTTCCTATGAATCCATAGTTACTACAAAATAAAAAGTTAAAAAAACAAAGAGATGGCAGGCCATTGTCATAATCTGGCTGTAGTTTGCTAACTCCTGACTTAGACAGTAGATATTCTGACAATAATATTTGTATTAGCTGTGCAGTATGTCTTTCAATATATATATATAATCATTTTGTTTATAATATATATCACATTTTGTTTAATATATATATATGTTTAACCATTTCTCTATTATTTCCAATTTTTCTCCTTATAAAACCAAGACCCAGAATGTTTTATATCTTTTTACACATCTATGATTATTTCTTTAGAATAAATATCTAAAATTTACAGTGTCAAATATAGACATAGCTTTAAACTTTTGGCATAATATTGTCAAATTTGCTCTACAAAACCTTCAAGTCCTGAGTAACATACCACTTCCTACAAGAAGACCTCCCCAGTCTCAGATGTCCCTCTTACTGGCTTCCACAGTACCCTGAACTTCCTCTACTATATCATTTATACTCTGGTCACAACTTGTTTGTTGTATAACTTCAATCTCAATTAAGATCTAGACCTTAATCTCTGTACAGCAGGAGACTTTAATTTCCATAGGGCTAAGTTTGTCTTGCTCCCTTTTTTATGCCCAGCATGAGCACAATGCCTGACAAGTTGTAAATATTCATTAAATACTTTCTGAATCAACGAATGAGAAAGGAATATATATATATAACTCAATCACAAAGGAAATGTTCTACTTTTGAGAGTTTACAACACTAATATTGAGAGTGTTTCTAGCACCCTCCAGGAAAGAGTCCCTTACCTATGAATATAGACATCAGATCAAAATCGAGATTAACCCTATAGGATGGTGATCGATTCATCAGATTGTCATAACTTGATGAAACTGCCATTAAGATCACCTAAATAACTTTCATTGTTCTGACTATATGCTCTCCCAGTCACTTTCTAGTTATTATTTGGTTTTTAGGCATAAAGTATAGACTACCCACACTGAGAATATGCATATGTCATACAAGCTTAAGTTTCTTGCCCTTGTGACAATTACATTTTTTTTACTAAAAATTAATAAAGTGACATCCGATTTGTGCATTAGTTATTTATGGATTTTATTATATGAATATATCCCCCTGAGCCTCCCCTAGAAGGCAGTAATCACATCAGTGTGCTCCCAACCTCCTGTCCCTCCAGGGACGGTCTTATTGCTTGCTTCCTCAAACTGTAACAGGCATGATTTTTAAGTCTCTGTGGTTTTTATACCCAAGTATTTTTATTTCATATGACTTTTTTTTTTTTTTTAACATTTCAAGTCTCTTCTAAAACTCTTCATGTAGCCTCTGTGCTTTTTCTGCCTTAGCCAGAATACATTCCTTGACTGTAACTGAATTATATCTAAATTTGGGGAGGTCCTTTAATGTTCCTGCCCCTGATCACACGCTATGGCCCCTTTTTGGCAAGGCGTCTGAAATGTGATATTCTTCTTTATCAAAACTCCTCTTTTTAGGGGCGCCTGGGTGGCTCAGTCGGTTAAGCGACTGCCTTCGGCTCAGGTCATGATCCCGGAGTCCCGGCATCGAGTCCCGCATCGGGCTCCCTGCTCGGAGGGGGGTCTGCTTCTCCCTCTGACCCTCCTCCCTCTCATGCTCTCTCTCATTCTCTCTCTCTCAAATAAATAAATAAAATCTTTAAAAAAAAAAAAAAAAGAGGGGCGCCTGAGTGGCTCAGTTGGTTAAGCGACTGCCTTCGGCTCAGGTCATGATCCTGGAGTCCCGGGATCGAGTCCCGCATCGGGCTCCCTGCTCGGAGGGGGGTCTGCTTCTCCCTCTGACCCTCCTCCCTCTCATGCTCTCTCTCATTCTCTCTCTCTCAAATAAATAAATAAAATCTTTAAAAAAAAAAAAAAGAGGGGCGCCTGAGTGGCTCAGTCGGTTGAGCGACTGCCTTCGGCTCAGGTCATGATCCTGGAGTCCCGGGATCGAGTCCCGCATCGGGCTCCCTGCTCGGAGGGGGGTCTGCTTCTCCCTCTGACCCTCCCCCATCTTGTGCTCTCTCTCTTTCATTCTCTCTCTCAAATAAATAAATAAAATCTTAAAAAAAAAAAAACTCCTCTTTTTATCTGTATGAATTTGCTCCTCATGTGTAAGGGTTTATTGCATTTAACACACTGCTAAGTTTATCTGAGGTAGTCAAGTTATTACAGCTAGAGTGGCTTTTAGAAAAGATCAGAGAGCTCTTCCGCGCGCTCCCCCGCGCTCCGCGGTCCGGGCCGGCAAGGGTCGCGCTGAGCCTGCGCCTGGGCGGAGCCGGGGGGACGAGGGTGGGCGGCGCCGCAGCGACCCGGCCTTTCCTTTAGTTTCTCCCTCTCTCGCCCCCAGGAGGCTTTCGGAAGGCGCTTGCGCGGCGGGGGGGGGTCTCGGCGCTGAAGTGGCCGAGCTGTCGGGAGGGGCCTGAGTGGGCGCTTCCAGGACCCAAGTTCGTCTGAAGCCACGGGGAAAGTGGTGGAAAATTCACCGTCGCCATTGCCAGAAAGAGCGATTTATGGCTTTGTTCTTTTCTTAAGCTCCCAGTTTGGCTTCATCCTGTATCTTGTGAGGGCATTTATTCCTGAATCTTGGCTAAGCTCCTTAGGATTAACCTCTTGGCCTCAAAAATACTGGGCGGTTGCACTGCCCGTCTACTTCCTCACTACTATAGTAATTGGTTACGTACTCTTATTTGGAATAAACATGATGAGTACCTCTCCACTCAACTCCATTCATACAATCACAGGTAACTATGCTAAAAATCAACAGCAGAAGAAAATACGGAGAGGAGGCCATCCCAGCATTAAGAGATATTCCTATTAATGAAGTAAACCAAATGTTCTTCCTGGCAACTAAATAACTTTATGCCAAAAACTAAATTGTATGTAGACTAACACCGAGCATTTACTATAATTTTTTATGTAATAATTTTGACCATAATTATTTTGACTCTCTCTCGTACCCAATATTGAAATGTAAACAAAGTAAGTTGATTCTTTTAGATTAAGTTCTATTAATAGTATAAAAGTTCTTGAGTATTAGTTATTAATGAACAGAATAAGTAAAATACTGCATTACCATAAAAAAAGATCAGAAAATGTTTAATGGCTGAGATTTAAATATAGGTAAAACAGAATGTCTTATTTGAGAATTATATTCTGGACCATGAACATTATGACAAATTGCTAAGGGAGATTAGTATGCAGTCTGATCTGGAAATAAGAGGAAAATCTGGAGGAGCAAGCCATATATTACAGAGGAAACACATCAGGCTGTAACCCTGTTCCTAACTCACAGAGGGACTCTGTGCTAGCCACTTCACCTCAGAGCCTCTGTTTCCTCCTCTATAAACCAAGGCAGGTAGACCAGAAGAAAGATAAACTCCCTACCAGCTCAGAAGTTCTATGATTCTGTGATAAAACTGGTCTATCCCTTCGATATCCAGTGTGAAGTAGTGACATTTATCTTGGAAATCTATGATTTACAATCTAATCAGGATCCCTTCCCTTGGACATCAATCTGTGATGTCCCCTTTCTGGTCCAGATACTTTTCACTGTCCTCCATACCCCATACTGTAAGGATGCCCTCGGGACATCCAATTGAGCTCAACTGGTTCCCATTAGCTATCTCTCCCTGTCACCCATCTGTCCTCTTCCCATTTCTCCCCTAGTGACTAGCTCTCACTCTTATCTTCTCTAGGCCAGCTCTCTAACCCTATCTAAACGAGTCACGGTAAGTGGAAGAAGGTCCAAGGCAGTACTCAACATCTCATTCCCAAATACCATCCCTACATTTTAACAAAGGCTCCTCCTTTAATTCTAACCTCAAGAAAGACTTTAATTCAAGGAAGGGAGAAAGACAACTAACATCTGTTAAACAACTACTCTGTGCCACATCAATACATAGCACATTCATTTCTTATAACCGTTGAAATATATATAGTATTTCCCCCAATTCTGTTGAAATTGAGAAAACTGATGCTCAGGGAAATTAAATAAGTTGCCGGGATCAAGAGGTAGTATTGGCAGAGCTGGGATTCAAACTCCCAGTCCATCTAACTTGAGAGTTGTTCTCTTTCCACCAGACCATATAGTCGTCTTGTGGTCCACAAAGCTCCAGGGTCCTGGGGTATTATCTCAGGGCCCTCCAAGAAGAGATGATGGGAATCAGGCTCCAGCCCCGTCTTTACTCTGAGGATGTCCAGAACACACATGCCCAGTGGTATTTATTTTGTAATTATTACTATTTAATTTGAGGAAAAAAGACTCCACTGATTTAGAAATGTTTGTATAGCACTTGTTAAAAAAACAAATGGCATCCTAACCCAGAGTATCGCCTTTTCCAACACACAGACACTTATTCTTATAGACGTTTCAGGTGATAGTCTCAGATTACTCTCACCAGTCACACATCCTTAGGGACAGTCTAAGAAATAACAGAGCCATAGTAGATGTTCAATAAATGTTAATCTGTGCCACTCCTCCTAGCTCTATCTAACCTCAGCCACATCACAGATGACTGTAGGTTGTTTGGAAAAATTCTTCAGCTCCTGTAGACGTACAATTTTAATTTCATGGTAAACATGCTCCGGGCTACATCAAATCATGTATCCACCTTTTTCTGTTTGTTTTGTTGTTTGTTTTTAATTCTCCTGCACGTGCATCTACCCCCTCTATTCTTTGAGCCAGTAGATCATAATGTGTGAAAATAAAGATCTACACAGAGAGAATGGAGGTGTTACAAGCTGCATGTGTGAGCAAATGATAGATAACCAGATGTATTCCTGGCCAGTGTTTTTTTGAAACAGAACATTTGGTAACTTTGTAGTCAGAGAAGGGGAAATAACGTCTGAAGTTACCTACAAGGCTTAGAAGTGTCCTGCATCAGAAAGGTCAATGCATGATCAACAGGTAAGGAAGAAGCCAAAAGAAACAACAGCAGGAGGAACAGAGAAGGAGCAAAAAGTATCAAACAAACAGCCTCAGACTTGA